GATGGTGTAATCAAAACATTCCAGGATAATCCAAAGCTAAGGTATTTTGCCAAAGCCAACTCTGCTATGTAAAACACCCTAAAGGAAGTTCTGTGAACTGAGAACTAACAAGAACAGACAACAACCAGAGAATGATGTACTTAGCAGCATCATTCTGAACTCAATCAACAAATGCAAGTGTCAAGTACAGAATAAAATTATAAGAAGATGTCATCAGCTTCTGTTTTGGGGGAATATTCAGGAGTTATCCGTGGCCTTAATACTTAGATAGGTGTATATTTTGGTAATTTTTATGCTTTCTGATTTCCTCCAGGTAGATGTGATCAGGAGATGGTCTTCCGTTTTCACTCTTCTTCCTGAGAAATTTCAAGATGCCACTGTTGGTTGTTGTGATGTAATACAGGATTTAATTTTTGTCCTAGTTCCTTTTTAGTCTGCCTGTCCTGCTCCACAATCCTCGTTCAGGCCTTTTCCCTAGTGATAAACAGTTTAGAGTGAGTTATGGGCGTTTTGCGCTGCTGTTTGATTTTACGTGGCAATTGTCCCTTTAAATTTCAAGGAGATCTGTGCGCATGCATAGTAGAACCCTTCAGGGTTGGGCATGGGGTTTCCACTTGCTCAGGCACCCCCTCTTGTCACCAGATTGGAGGTGCACACACAGAGAGTGATTAATGAACAGCTACAAAAATAAAAAAAATAATGTCCATACCTTTATCTCCATGTTTGTCAGGCTTCCATGGGTGCTCCAATCCTTTCTCTGCTTGGTCTCACCCAAGACGGTGGCTGAGCATCTTGGATTAGAAAGCACTGAATTTCTTGCTTCTGCTACAAGTTCCTCTAGCTGTAAGACTTCCAACCTTCAAAATATGCCTTGGTATGTGGTTCAGAGTTCTGGCACCATCTCCTGACCCTGCTTGGTCTGGTATTCTGTGCTGTTGCTGACAGATCTCCTCACTGCACTTCTACCCAATCCACCATCTTGTTTGTTCTCCTTTTTTTTTTTAAAGAGAAGATATTTTCTTTAAAGAGAAGCTTTCTGTATTGCCTTTACTTGGTTGTTAAGTATTGCCAAGTTGGTTTCTTAACTCTTAGCAATCCAGTATAGATTTCAGAAGGAACTCTGGTAGTGTAGTGGTTACATGTCGAGCTATTAACCTTACAGTCATCTGTTTGAAACTATCAGCCATTCCATGGCAGAAAAGTGAGGTTGTATGCTCATATAAAAATTT